GACTAACCCAGTGTGTTGAGAGCTTAAACTTTTCAATTGCAAGCCTTTTAGATTTATCTTTTGTTTGTTTAGTACTTTTATCCAAGATTTCGGCCATTTTAAATTTTATATTAGGGTAAGTAACTGCGAGACCATTCTGGCGAACTTCCATTATCCACTCAAAAAGTTGAGACTCTTCTTCAGGAAAAAGTGAGCGACGCCCAGAGCCAATGCTTCGCACGTTTTTTTGAGAAAAAGAAGGTGGGTTTTGAGAAAACTTCTTAACCCAACGACCAAGCATGGTTAAATCCAGGGAGTAGTACTGTGCTGTATGTGAATTTGAAGTACGACGAGCCAATTCCACGGCCTTATTCTTTTCCTCAACTGTGTAAGAATTTCTTTGCCTTTTTATTTTTTTTTTTCAAAAAAAAAAAAAGATTGAAGGTTCTTTTAAAACCGGGTTGACAAGAAAAAAATTTTCTTAGAAAAAAAAAGGATGAGTAGTAAAGTTTTTTTTTTCTATTGTGTTTGGCAAGTGATTTTTTTTTTTTCTAAAAATTTATGCCTGGTTTTTTGAAATCTAAGTTATGTTAGGTAAGTAAAAGAGTTGATTTTTATTACATTTTTTTTTTTTTTTTACTGAAAAAATTCTTGAGGTTTTCATATTAATCGATAACATTCAACTAATTGATAGTGTTCTAACATTCAACATAATGACAATTCAACAGTTTTAAGATTGTATATAATGTATAAATATTTATGCCGTGTATCCTTTTCAAGTCATTATATAAGTGAAATTTTCACATATAGCAAGTGGCATTTTTTTGAATTCTTTATTTATCGTTGTGTGTATCGAGACTGTTATCCTTTTCAGGTTATAAATAAAGTAACAAAGTAACAATTGATTCGTATAACCTTATGATACGTAGTCTATGCGAAGTTTATAATCATAAAGCGCACTTTAATTAGACTTTATATTGTTATACGTACTATATATATATAACTTATTTAGAGCCTAATAGTAACTATAAATCTAGGGTTATAGTACTTTGGGTAGTTGGTAGATTTGTACGCATTTTTAGTCTTAGTTTGGGAGTTAGAGATTGGATATTGGTACTTTGTTTAGTATATCGGGTGTTGGAATATAATAATAAGATAACTTGTATCGCTTGTGTTATTTGTACTTTTTGGTGCCTTGTGTACGATAATAAAATACTTGGTTTCTCAATTTAATGCTTACGACCCTAAGCTAAATTGGCTACGTGGATATAAAGCTTATCCCCTGGTCGTAACAATGTCAAAAAAACTGAAGTTTTGTGTATTGAATGATGAATTCTTTTTTTTTTTTTAAAAAAAAAGGGATTCTACAAAAAATTTTTAAGTTATACCTGCTTTTGTGAATCCGGGTGTCATATAAAACAAAATATTTCAAGTAAAAATAAGTTAAATAAAGCAAAACAAAGGCTATACAAAAACAAAACTAGTTTTTTAAAATAAATACCCGATAATAAGCTACCCTATCGTTAAGCATAAATTGCTTAAAAACTTCTATATCCCGAAAATAAGCTACTTCTGATTTTTTTAATTTAAAAT